ATAAATTCTCATTATTGATGAAACAACAATGTCAAAATCGTTGTTAAGTGCTACCGAAAATTTCATTCCACATTTGATTTGCTCCTTATGTGACGAAATTCATCATAATGTCTTTTAGAAGATCCTCGTTGATCTGACAATTCATTCAATCCGTCTTGAACTGCCCGACCGTTGATGAGCTCCGCTATATTATTTTCTCTTTGTTACTCTGTACCTATTTACTTGACTAACTGTTCACGTATTGTAAAACCGAAAATATTTTAATTCACATTCAGCTAAATTGATTCATTTCAGCATAATACCCTCCTCTCCTTCCTAGGGTTGTGAAATGCAAATAATCCCATTCCAAGCACACAAAAAAAGTTCAAATGATTGGGAAACAAAGCATCTTTGTTATTCATACAAATGCATAACTCCCATTCGGATCTGGCTTGCCTAACCTTCAAAATTATTCAACTGATGGAGGATGGTAGTATTTGATTTATGAACGGTATGGAATATCCTACTGATTGATGACAGCCGTCTTCAATTTCAGTTCTGGGCTGATCTTGACGTTTGAATGCAATCGTCATATTCTGTTCCAGTTAGTTGCGTGAAATATGATGCTCTCCTATAAGAAAATCATGTTCCGCGGTCGATTTTCAGATATCACGGGAAGAGGAAACTCTTTCAAGATGTAGATGTCGTAGTCAGCTGTTTAATTTATTTGCAGGATTGCGTGTCAAAACTGCCCATTAGAAAAATGGTTTCATAGAACATAAAAGAGAAATCTTCCTTCGCTCGATCTCCGAAGGCTAACGTTCTCGTATACAACTAATGTTGGTACGGCACAAGTTCATCAGGGTCGTCGAAACTGAGCCATCCCTGATCACTCATTATCACATCTTTCCATTCACTAGTGACGTGACATCTAACCCAGATAAATCAATTACAAATACGGCGAGCCCTTATCCGTGGTACTGATAACACACTGCATTGTACATGCTACCCCATCTGAAGATAAACACTGATTAGAACGCATTCCACCAATTTTGTGTTTACTCTTAGATTTATACCGATGTGGATCAATCAAAATTGTTTCAAGCAATCGGCGGCGATCTATGCGTTTTTTCAGTATTCCGGTGTTTTGGTAATTTTCGTTGTCTCAAATCAGACCATCTTGAATCGCGTCTGGTAAAACGAACATTCATGAGCTTATTGATCGTCGTTCACTCACCTGGTGTGGCGTGATTACGCTTCAAGATTGCATAATTGGACATCGCCTAATACATTTGATGCATGACTCACCGATATGGTGATCTGCGGATGGGTATTCGCACCCCCAGGAACATATTTACTCGGAAAAATTAGTACATCAGGTTCACAACTGAATTCAGTTTAACTTCCTTATATAGCGGTGAATAATTTTGGTAAAGATAAAATTGAGAAAAATCAATGCGGGAATAACACCATTATGCACACCATACTGGATGCAACCTCTTCTTATTGTTGCTTGATATACGGTGTAGGGAATCCAAGTATTTGTTCTAACTTGGGTTCACTTTGAGTCATACACATCATTATTTACCTCTACTCATTTGGGATTGGTGATACGGAAACCTACATCGCATAACGATCTTAGGAATCGCATCAGTTTCTAACACTGACCTGAGCTTAAACATTAATACCAGTCTGTGATTATGGTTATTATTTACTGGAAGATTAGAGAGCACTTTGAAATGAACGGAGTACCTAGGAGTAAATGCGAGAAAGCTAAGTTTAAACTTCCACCTGGTTCTAGTTCAATGTGCCAAGGTTCAGTATATGTGGTCAATGACTATCATTATCATCATTAGGTGGAAAGCGGTGAACGGAGGAAAACACAGTGATCTGGAATATTTAGCTTCTGCAGAGACATTAGGACATAACGCACGAGGTTAAGATGACGGGATAATCCATCCACAGAGATATCGATTGTTGTATCACTTCCAACGATTGGAATAATCCGGCAAAGATAACAGAATGAATAAGAGTGCTATTATTGACCAATGTCCAATTGAAACTGACGAAGACGTGCCACCATGAATGGAGCCTTGCACGGCGTTGCAGTTGAGAATGAACTGTAAGTAGCCAGTGGTTTGTACTACTTGCCTTGAATGGAGTCAATACATCACCTAGAGTCAGACCTCGGATACACTAGTACTACGCTTTTTACTGAATCGCATTGTTCAAAAGATTATGCGTAACCTTGAGCGCAAGGTGACTTGTAGATAAAGGGGCAGAATTGCACGCTAAATGGGGTGCTGTTGCCAATAATAGAACCGATCTTTGCAGAATCCTGCTGGTCGCGACAGCATCACCACCATCATCAAACAGCAAGGTACAATGAAGCGAACTTCACTGATTGCTGCCAAGCTCAATGTGCACAAATTAAGCGACAAAGCATAAGATGGAGAGAGATTGGGCCTAATTGGAGGGAGGCAAAGAAAGTGAACCTCTGTGGTCAACACACAGAGTACACAATCTAAGTGTGCAAACATAGCGTTTCAAGCATTCTGACTCAATAAGAAATAACAAGAACGCCACTGCTGACGGTTCGCTGCCATATCATTCGGTGTCTACATCAACCAGTTGCAGACTTTCGGACCCCAAACGGGAAGGCGAGACACCTACTCTACCTAATTGCTCTATGCATTTCTTCATGCCTCGTCTCTAGGTGGTTTCTTTCAACCCGGAGCCGCGGCTGCGAATAAGGTGCGGTAGACGATGACGACTGCATTCTTCGAATGATTTGGCGCCTATTGATTCCATTCATAATCGTATCTTGAAAAATACAGTTTTTTGGCCACAAAAATAGGCCACGTTCCATCTGTGCATTGAAATCCTAACCTAGTGGTGTTTTCTTTTTGGAAACGACTGCGTGTGGAATATACGGTTTGAGGCTGGCTTATCAGTCGACTGAATGATGTTCTTTTCCAAACACTTATTCGTGTTTATCAGTAGTCCGACTAATGCCAAAAAATTGATCTGAATGAGGTAAACAAGACCACAAAGTAACGCACTTACTCATCACAATTTGCGTCACAGCTAATTCACAACTATAATGATTTCCGAGTTTCTCCGGATGACTTAAATCACTTAAGCTTATACCTTATGGGTGAAAGAAAACTAATGAGTATCATGTCAACTACCGGAGAGATAGTTTAAGCCATAGAGGGTTTTTTCACTGCCTTTTCGCCAAGCAAAGGCACACTAAATCACTAATAATTTCAGTTAACCTGTTCACTTTTTATCAGTTATCAGATTGCTTGATTTCCCATTCGAACTATCTGATTTTGATTTTTGATCATCCCAACGTTTCAAAGCTCAAATATTATATTGTTTTCTCCTGTAGCAGATTATTTTCATATTGAATCATTGCTCTACAATTCCCAAACCCCGATTGCAGCCGAGACACACAAGTAACTCCTGTGAAAGTAAAATCCCGGTAATAAACAGTGAATTAATATACCCTTCTGCGGAAGCTACCAATATTAGTCAAGACTAGATAAAAATATATATCGAGTGTATTTGATAAGTAATCACGGATGATCGGCGGTAGCGCCAAGACAGAGTTCAAGCTAATCACGTGACCAAAGATTGTTTTTAAACTGGACACCGACTGTGTGAATAAATGTTCAGTAGCCTCGGTGGGATTTGAACCCACAACATAATTTAACAATTAGCCCTGCCTTAGAAGTTCACTCGGTAGATTTCAAAGAATACCTGTCATGACAGTCAGCCTACATGCTGCCTGGTGAACTCAATGTGGCCGTGTAAGTTAGTTGGGGAATCCAAGTGTGAAAATGTCAGTGCTATTGGTGTAGCCTCGTAGTTCAGCCAGAGGAGCGTGCCCGGTGGAAAAACGGAGGCGGTGTCAACAGGTGGATTCGAATCCCACCGAGGTTATTGAAATTTTTCTAAATTGAGGGGTATACCGCACAAGTTCGGTTAACACCTGTACTTGTGACAGGCTAGAAATAAGGGTCAACGAGGGAAAGAAATTAGAGTATTCAAAGAGTTGGATCACAATTGCGCTCCACTTTCGACGTAAGTTTCTTTCAGGGCCAGTTATCGTCCGTTCGGGGGCTTCCAGACGCTTCACTTGTTAGAATTTCGGTTACAGGAGCTTAAGCGCTTGCAGAAATTTTTTTGAGTACCGAAGAGTTGGGTTTCGAATAGAAAACCACGTGCCCAGACAGTCCCACGCAGATCCTTCTAGATCTATTGGTCAAACACTCTATGAGGTTGTTTGTTACATTGATTGGTACGAAGCTACGGAAATGAATAAACCGTCCGTTTCATGTCGTCTTTCTCTGAATTGACAATCAGATCTACTCATCATCACGATTAGTTTCACAAACATCCTTGTAAACGTAACCAAAGCATTTAAACCCCTGTAGAATGCTATAAGGGGACAGCCTAAACACATACGGTTCTATATTCTAGCCATTCTACCGAACAAATGACTTTCTCGACCGAAACACCAAGAACCTACTGTTCGCTTATGGGGACCAGCACCCAAGCCCTCGGAGTAGCTAATGTAAGGCTCTTCTAAAACACAAAGTATCACCCTTGGAGTCATAGAAACTGCCTACTAGCAAAGTTGGATGGCGGGTTCAAGATTTGGAGCTTGAGGCCCGAAGCATGCTAGTTGTGGCAGCCTAAACCGCTTCAGTACTATCATAAATTACAGGAAAGCGTCAAATAGGCAAATGCTACCCTTCAGAAAAATATCCTGCTGTAAGAACGAATGGTTGGAGAAAAATAAGGGGCTAGGCAACGTCCGCTATAGATCTCGAGGCTTGTGCTTGGAGCAATATTCTATGGTTGCCTAATGAGAGGTCTCTAAGGTGCCGGTGGGCTATCGATTGGGAACATCCGTGCATCAAACATGAAAACGTCAGTAAAGTATAGCATTCACTGATACATGACACTGAGTGCACATAGAAATGGGAGAGGGTGAAACAATACAGTACAATCTATCGAAAGTGTTCATTGGCCATTTGAGCGACTCTGCGACCCAGGGCCTCGGCTTTGGCCAAAGCGAGTAATTCTGGNNNNGCGGAACGTCTTCCATCAACCGATTTCTTTAATCTGGTCTCCAGGCGATCCACGGCTTGTCTGGACGGATTTAGTGGACTGAGAACTTTCCGACCGGTTGGTTCCAGACAAAGTTTGCCGCGTGTATCCGCATCGGTTCTTGTTATGTGTGGTGGACACGAGTTTATTTCGTCTTCACTGTCTGAAAATATGTCACGGAAGTGAAGCGGCCGCCTCTGGTAGGAGACCGGAGTGTGCGCATTTGACTGCAACCTGGGACTAGATCTGGTAGGAGTCGTCAGACCATGAGGTTTCGAATCCGAACCTGTTCGAAGCTGCGTCACTCGGGTGGGGGTTCCTCGAGGGGTGACAGACGGACTACCTCTTCTAGAAATTGTCAATTCACCGGTGGCGGCGGTGATAGTAGCAGCAACGGAAGCGGCGGTTGGAGTAGTTATCCTGTAATGTAAGTGACAGCAATCGTAAGACAAGAATAAACGTTGCCAGAATTCTAGAAACTGTTGGAGTGAAACGGCGAAACGGCATTGAAAATAGACCGAAGGAAAAAAACAACGGTAAAGGAAAAATTGTGAATGACGATTGGAGTGGAATCTAGAGAACGAT